CGGGCCCTGCTCGCCGTTTGCGTGTTTCCCTTTATTTATTGTTATTTATGGGCACTTCTTTGTGGCCTCTCTTTTTCTTTTTTTCTTTTTATTCTGTTGTGTGGAATTTTATCAAAAAAGAGCTGGGGTTTTTTATATTATTTTGTTTGCCTTTGGCTTTTTTTCATTTCGGATGGCTTTTCGTCCAAAGCCATTTAGAACACTTTTCGCACCTCGTTGTTCTTTGGGGGCCGGCGAAAGATACATTTGTATCTGCTGCTCTTTGCTGAATGCTCGCCATGCGACAGCTGTCACTGGATCTAGAGATCTTTGAGATCTTTCTGTGGCCAGCACATCATCATCATCATCATCATCATCATCATCATCATCATCATCATCATCATCATCACTAACATCATGATGATCACGATCATCATCATCAGCTTGGTGATTTTTATGAAGGAATTCGCATTAAAAATGTTTATTATGTTTATTTATTGCGAACGAGAATCGAGAACGGGCCAAAATGGAAAGACTCACACACAGCTACAAAGTAGATCTAATGGATTTTTGAATTTTCTGTGTTGGCTGTAACAAAAAAAAAAAAAAAAGAAATACGAAGAAGAATACAACAAAGCAGAGGCGTCTCTGCGAAGGGGTTTCAGATTCTTCATTTTTTTTTACACTTGTTCGTGCTGGACAAAGGCAGAAGCCAGAAGCCAAAAGTCAAAAGCAGCTGGCAGCTGGCAAGTTAAGTGTTTCTTGTGATTTTCGGGGAAATCCTCAGATCATTTGCAGTTCATAGGGAATCCAGACACTGCTAGAAACAAGTGGGTATTGTAAATACTTAAATAATAAAATGTGCAAGGGAAAAATCAAGAATAAGTCTAGAAACTAGAAAGTTCCTTCTTTGCATTGCTCAAATTATTTATATTCTTGTTCTCCCTCTTAAAAAAAAGTACTTCAACATCAAGTTAAAATCCAGTTTAAAAAAGTAAGCAACAACACTTGAATATAACTGTAATTGCTATAGAAAATTAAAATCAATTAAACAATCGTAAATCGTTAAATTAATTGAAACAACAAATTTGAATTGCAAGTGAATATATGTATATTGTTTAATTAAAAGCCATATTGTGTTTACTTTTGATTCTGATATTTCTCTTTCTTTTTTTGTTGTATTACACACTTTTATGCCGAAATTAAATTTAAAATAAACATTCCATTTCCAGGCTAGGGATGTTTATTTTATAAAGTTGTATCTTTTGTTGCCTAAACTTTGGCCTCTCTTTGACTCTTAATTAAAATAAATTTTGCCGATTTGCCAAAACTGAGAATTTCAAGGCGGGGTCCCAAAGATATATGTTTGCTTAAAGGGAGTGCCGAAAAATAAAGCCCCGAAAAGGGAGTTGGGAATTACAAGAGGTGTGAGAGAAAGGGAGAGATATATATGCTGACAGAGAAAGATAGAGATAGTGTGTGAGTGAGTAGGTGACAAGGACTGGGAGGCGACATCAATTAGCGCCGGACAAATGTGTCCCAAATGTATAGAAAAGAACCACGCCCATTGCACCCACATGCCACACACACACACTTCAAAGGAACCCACGCGGCGCACACACACACCCATGCTTATGTATAGCTTATGGCATGTCCTTGACACATATCCTGGCATTTGCTCAGCACGCACATTCCACACACACACACAAGGTCCTTAAATGTGCGAGGCAACGCCTTGCGGGGCTTCTTCCTTGCGAGAGCCTGGCCCTAATCCATTTGAGTCCTCTCTACCGCTCTCTATCTCTTCCGCTCTCTCTCTCTCTCTCTTAGCCAAGGATAATAAAAGCGAATTCTCTCCTACTTTATGGCCGGGGCGAAACTTTTGTGGCTTCCTCATATGTGTGTGCAAGTTCTGGTAATATAATCCTAATGGAATTTACACTCAAACTTTACAATGGCAGGGCAACAATAGCGAGGACACTGCGTGTCCTTTGTCGTTTGCAGGGATCTCTTCGTCCGGATATAGAGGAAGAGGCAAATACAAGTAGGAACCAACTACAGTTGAAATTACATCCGCAAAAGTTTAAAAAACAAGGACGAATTCGAAATCGTATTGAAAAATCGAAATGGAATTGAAGGGAAGCAATAGAACATTGGATTAAAAAGAAAATGGGTTAAATATTTAATCAAATTAATAGAGAATCGTTGTGAAAATTAATTTACTGGAGAAATGTAATGTTTCGTTTTTAATGTTTCGATAAAATCGATACTTGTAAGTTAAAAGTGATATTTTTTGTATATTTCACATTTTAATCTTTTTAATTTTTGCCATTTTCGATACAATATTTATTCTGTCCATATATTCATAGGATCTCTCCTTGATCATTAAATTTAGGTAGATTTTAGATATTTTCGATATAATTTCCGTCGTGTTATCGGACATATCCTATCGATATACATTTCCCCAAAAATCCTATATAATAACCAGCTTTTAAAGTAATTAATATTATATTTATATAATGCATTTATATATATTTTATTCCAAATGAAGCATATATTATATTTTAAATCAAAAATGTATCAAAAAGTTAAGAGTTTGCCCCTTAAAATGTGGCAACCCAAACATATTGCAACCAAATGCTGTCTCGCTTGAGTTTCCAGGGGATTTGATTCTATTTTATTCTATTTTTTTGTATTGTTTTGTTTTTGTTTTTGGTGGATACAGATTCAGATTCAGATTCAGATACGGACTCGAATTTGAATAGCGATCTGGCTGAAGGTCAAGTGCATTAAGGCGCAACGGAAACGAGGCGAAATGGAAATGTTAAATGGCATCGAAAATAGTTTGAAACAAAAACAGAAATAAATAGAGAAAAAAATACATTCTCTCTCTGAAAGCATAAAGATAGTCTGCGTGCGTGTATGTAGTAAATTGTGATTTTATTTGATTTGATTTTGAGACCAGCGGCTTCTAGTCCCCTATTATCCTTGGACTAACTTTGGCTTAATTGTGCGTGTCAGGCAGCCACAAAGCCGCAACATGGACACATGTCCGTTCCTCTTTTTTTCTTTTTTTGTTCATTCGCTCCCTTGCTGGGTGTGTTTTAACCAAGGTCCAACCAGGACTGGCCAAGAGCAGGAGCAGGGAGCAGTTACTAAGGCAGGAGTACGAGAACGAGAAGTCGTTAATAAGAGCGGAAATGCTGGCGCCGACATTATCATTTCAACCTCCACCCGCTTACATCGCAATTATGATAATTGAGTGAGCAGAAAAGGCAGCAAAGCTGGCTAACAGCCTGGCCAAGAGGGGGGCGAGTGTGGCCAAGTGGCAGACAGGTTAAATTGCGCGTAACTCGACAGTAAATGGTGGCAGATTCCCGTCTTGGACTTTGCTTTTCTTTCTTTTTTTTTTTTTTTGATTGATTTGCCAACAAGTTTGCCACGCACGCACGCAAAAAAAAAAGAAGGGAAAAACACATTACCAACTGGCGCCCAATTGTCTCGAGGACCTCAAACCAAAACTCTCGTCCTTTTTCTTCCTGCCTCCCCATACAAGATGCAACAACAAACATATTATTTGCCTTGGCCTGCGGCGAGTCCTTTTCTTTTTTGTTTCCTCCTTTCACCTTGTGACGCACAGTTGGATTTATGAATTGATTGCGTGCTAAAAATTCCTTTCTGTCTTTGATTGATTTCGCTTGACTCTTGTGCGTGACTCTGCTGACCCCAGTGCGTATGCGTAATATTCGTCTATCGTCTTGTTCTCCCCAGGAAGCTGTGTGTGCACAACGACAAAGCAAAGACTATATTTAGGCACTGTGCCACCATTTAATGGATTGTTTACGTCCCAAACAGAGAAAAAACTGAGAGAGAAGAAAAACACAAATTGGGACGGCTGCAAGTTAGCATAAACAGCAGCAGAAATTGGAAAATGAATGGATTGTGCCATACATAGAGTTTATTTTTGAAGAATCAAAAAAAAAGGGATTGAATGAATTAAATATCTTTATATTATTATAATTTCAATCAGAAGCTTGTAAAGCAATAAAGGAGTCATTTCCGACCCCATAAATCATATATATTCTTGATCAGCATCGACAGGGGAATCGATCTAGACATCTTTGGCAGAATAAAATTTTTTTTTTAATTTATCAAAAATTTTTAAGGGGTAATCGACAAAAATTACCATAAAAAATTAAAATTTGTTTAAGATTTTAAATTAATATGCAGATTTGTTAAACTAATAAAAACTAACAATGGACAGCTTTCCGATTGAAACTTAATCAATTTTTGACAGAGTTATGATGGATTTTCACTGCAAGGGTATACAAAGTTCGGTTTTCTGATTTAAGCTCCCTTTCTTGTTATAAGAACTTCAGTCAGAAGCTTGAAAAGCAGTGAAGGAGTCATTTCCGACCCTATATATCATATATATTCTTAATCAGCACAAAAAAAGGAATCGATCTAGACATCTTAGGCAGAGAACAAACATTTTAAATTTTTTTCAAAATTTTTAAGGGGTTTTATCGTTAAAATTGACACAGAAAAAATGTTAAAATTTTTACCTTTTTTAAATTTGAAATAGAGTATGCTATTTTATTAAACTAATCAAAACTAACATAGAAAAGCTTTCCGAATTGAAATTTATGCATTTTTGAGTGACTTATGACATTTCAAAAACTACGATTTAACTAAAAAATTAGCACACAAAAATATCGATTTAATGTTTAAAGAATAAATATATTTAAGGGGGCTTTCTGTAAATATGGCAGAAAAATATAAAGTTAAAGGAATATTATCAAAGTTCAAAGAAAATATATTTAGATTTGCTCGAATTTCCTTGAAAATTAATAAAGATACCTATAAAATGTGACAAATACTTTACTATAAATTCAATTAAAAGAAGCTTGAGTCGATTTAAAGATTAAACTCCTTGTAGTAATTAATTTTCTAGTTTTATGAAGTTTATAAGGGCAGCTCTCTCTCACTTCTCGATGCTCTAACCTCGCACTTTGACTTACCATTAATTGCACAAGTCGCCGGGTTCCAGAGCTGAGTTGCTGGGCCTGAGGCGAAAGATAGAAGGGAAATACAAACTGTTAGCATTGATTAGCGTCTAATGTACAAACACAATGTAGATTGCATATACTGTGATTGCTATAGAGATGGGGGAGATGGAGATGGAGATGGGAGCAGGAGTGTGAGGACTGAAAGCGAGCTGAAACCAAAAACTGGGCTCAGAGTGGGTCGGGGGTACCGGGTCCCCCCATCAATAATTGCGGCTTACGGCCATCTATTATGTGTGTTTACTGTGTGTAAAGACGATGGATGGTTATTGATTAGGCGGAGTGTACAACGACGACGACGACGACCGCATATTATGTATGAATCATTGCGAATACAAAAGAAGAAACGACGAAACGACGCTAAAAACAAAACTCGCGTAGGTAGCGCCAATTTTTTAGGCAAATACAAATATAAATAAAGCGAGTGTGTGTGGATATTCGTATAAGACCAAAAGCCAAATCAAACCAAGCCAAACCAACCCAAGAAATACATGAAGAAAATACAACAAAACAACAAAGTGTTTTCTGTTTGTGACTTGGTTTTTATGGAACTGAAATGTACCCTGTAAGCGAGGCAAAATATATTGATATAGCAATACTGGATCGTGTTTACAACGTATTAATTTTCAATGTGATATTTGTAGGACATCAATTTGTATCTAATAATTTGTCTGCCTGCTATACTTATAAAATTTCGAAATTCAATATTTTAAAGTATAGTGCGATAATTTCCAATATTTCAAATATCGATAGATTGAACTTTTCAATATTTTCTATACGATATTGGGTGCTGTTTTGCTTTTAATTCTTGCAAATTGATATGATGTTTCGATAGAATAGACATTCTAATCTTAAGTGGTATTTTTGTGATTTTTAAAATGTCGATATATTATTTTTATCGATATTTTCGATACAATATTAATATATCATATAATTTTCTCCCGATATAAACATGAAATTGAGATATATTTAAGATATATTCCATATCATTTTAAGAAAGTTATCAAAGTTTTTCTATCGATATATATTCTTAGCAAATATCCAAGTATTTAAGCTCATTAAAACCAAATCTAAAATATTTAAAATAACCAAAACTTGATAAATTTTATTAATTACAATACTCTAAAGTGCAAAGAGAAAACCCCATCTACCTTTTGATTACTCAACTCAATGGATGCAAAAAAAACACCAAAGGAGCGACGAAGTCAACTAAGCCCACTGTCCATTAATTTGGCTTAAATCCCCAGCAATCGCTGTGGCACAAAAAGGGGAATTTTTGTATTTATTTGGCAGAGAAGAACGCTCTTTTCGAGAGTTGGCTTTGTTTGCTTTGGTCTTTGCAAATCGCCAGCGGAACCGCTACTTCATTTGCATCGATTTTTTGCCCCTCATGTGTGTGTGGCTTTATTTGCACCGAAAATTGCATCTTCTGTTTGTTTGCACTCTTTAATGTCATTAATTTATTTGGGCGAGGGAATGAAGGTGGAAAAGGTGGATTTGGCTACCTGGCAACGGTGTTGCCGTTTCGGGTCTTGCTTTTTGTTATTTTGTGTGAATTTTCGCATTGAATTCGCATTGAAATGTGCAAAAACCCCAATTAGGTGCAATTAACAGCAATTTTGTTGCTCCCGGGCATGGTAGTTTTTGGCCAAAAAGGCTTCAATTTGAATTGAAATGTTGTTGAAAGCCCCAAAAATTGAGAAGAGTTGAGTTTTTTAATTGGATTTTTATTTTTTATGTTTTTGGGAATGCAGGGAGCGTTAAAAGATCGTTTAACAAGGGCATACTTTTCACTTAATTAAAATTCAGGTTAATTTAGTTATAAAAGCTAAGGATTCTTTAATTAAATTAATGTTTTTATTTGCAGATGTGCAAGGAACACAGAATATTTTCAAACAATATCGAATTAAAGAGAGTTAAACGTTACAATCAACAGCAATGGTAAGTTTATTTGATCAATTATTATATTATTTTGAAAATAAGTTAGTTAATTGTTAAACAAATCCATAAAAATCATAATCAAGTAAACAAGTATACTCTCCCAACTTAAACAATGCTTTCTTTAAATGCTTTAAATCAAAGTAAATAAGAATTAAGATCCAAATGAAAGGAAGTTTGCCAGGCTAAACCAAAAAAAATCCTGTTTAACCAGAAACATGTTTTAAATGGGGTTTTTGGGGAAAAAGAATATATTATCTTAAAGGTATAAATAGCTGTGTATTTTTTGGCTTGTATTTCTTCTGAGTCCGATATGGAACAAGCTCTGAAACACGTTTGGCATTTAGTCTCTCCTCTCCTCTCCTCTAGAGGAAAAGATCTCAGTTAATTTGCGCGTAATTGCCACAGCTGGGTGCGAGATCCATCAGCTCATCAGGGCAATATACTGGGAGGAGGAATATATGGGCTTTATGGCCTAATCAACATCAGCGGTAATATTCAATTCCCCTCCACTCGTAATATTGAACATTAAATGGAAATGCAATGGGAAATGGAAATGAAAATGGAGATGAGATTGAGACTTTGACTTCGACTTCGACCTGACCTTGACTGGTTGCCATCGAGGAGGTTCTAAGATAGAGATACTGAGGGCAATTTGCTGTTGCTTTTTAATGCCCATTTTGGTGGTAATTAAGCAAACGGCAGCTGCCACACACACACACTAAATTCCAATTTCAATTTCAGCAGCGGCATTAAAAATTATTTAATTAAGTGATTTTAATTTCGCTTTTTGCTGCCGCTGCTGCTGTTGCTGCTGTTGCTGCTGTTTCCACTTGAGACTTGCCTTCACTTGATTGTCTAATTTCATTAATCTAAGTCGGTGGCTATGCTCAACAAAAAGTGAATGAAGGCAAAACTGGCAGTCAGCCAGAGTGCCTCGTTTTTGACCCACTGTGCGCGTTCTCTTTTGTCAATTAGAATTTCGAATTTGACCTCTGTGCATCCACACAACACAAGTTTAGCGGAAGACGCAGATGAGGATGAAGATGAAGATGATGCTGCAGACTTTGATCGAATCGAAATGGTTTCACTTGGCTCACTCTACTCTATTCACTGGCATAAATCACACTTGAGTGCCAATGCCAGAATAGAAATAATCGTTTAATTAGCCAACGGGCAAAGTCCAATTGGTAATGCACCTTATTTTCTAAATACCCTTTTTTTTTGTTAATTTACTTATTTCCGTTTGGCGCCAGGCATTAGCATCCGTGTTTCTTTTGGCCACCAAAGTCGATGCTAGTGCCAAAGATACAACTAAACAAATGCCAAAGATGCCAAAGGTTTAACTAAAGGCACTTTTAAGATGGGAAATCTTTTAATTTCATTTATATTAATTATAAACAAGAAAGAAAATTGATTTAGGGTAACTCTTGCTGTGAAAATCAATCATAACTAGGCCAAAAATGCCTTAATTTTCAATCGGAAAACAGTTGAAAACTAGAATTCATTAGGTTAACAAAATTGCATACTCATTTGAATATTACAAAAAATTCAAATTTTTGCAATTTTTTTTCGACAATTTTAACGATTTAACACCTTAAAAAATTACCAAAAAATTTAAAAATTTTTGTATGTCTATAAGATGTCTAGATCGATTTCCCTGTTAATGCTGATCAAGAATATATATGATTTATGGGGTCGGAAATGATTCCTTCACTGCGTAATATGCTTTTGATTAAATAAATAATACCCTGTATATCTCATAATTCTCAATTCTCAATTTTAAAACTAAAACTTTACCTAAAAAATTGGTTTTGAACGATCTCTATATATATTTATTCATATACCAATGAATATTCATAGTTAAATTAAATTATTTTATAATTCTCAAGTGCTTGTTGCATGACAAAAAGCTAAATCAACTGATGACAGTGTTTTATATTTAAAACCTCTGACCTCAAACTAAGATCTATGACTCATAATTATATATTATTTAAGTAAACAACAAATTAATCCGGATGTTTTTGTGTATTTGAAAGGCCTAACCCCTCAGGGATAACCATATCTTAGAATGTGGGACTTCTGAGGCCTAAAAGAGTTAACCCCAAACTCTATGAAGTTTTCAATGCCTTTGTTTTCGCAGCTGGCCTTCCGCCCTTTGGGAATCATCTCTGGCTTGATTTATGGTCTCCATAATCATGGATCGCACGGATCATGGTGGACCGGGGCGTGGCTGGAAATGTGTGTTTTTGTGCGGGGGCTTAGGCCTATGGGCCCTACAAACTGACCGACCTTCGGCGACTTAACTCTTAACTTAACTTACAAAACTATGTGTTTGGTCTTTGATGTTGTAGTTTTTTTTGTTATGTGCTTTGTTTTCTATGGACTGTGGGCTTTGTCTTCTGTCGGCTTCTAATGCTTCCGGTTCCACACACACTCCCACTTCTCTCTCTCTGTATCCCTCTCTGTTGTAAGTTGAAGGCCTCACCTTGCTGTAGCGATAAGATACGTAGAGCCGGCTCTATGGTATTGATTACCCCAGCTCTTGGCCTGGCCAATTTGGTGGCAAAAGTACTGACTGTCGACCATTAAAAAGTCATTACAAAAGCACGGCACAACACACATCACATGCACATGTAGTTTTTTTATTCCGGAGAAGGAGAAGCTAGGTGGAGACAAGTACCTGGCATAATTGCAGAGTGGCAATCAAAAGGTTTAGACCGCACACGGGAAGTACCATGCCCAAAGACCGAACCAGCTCAAAGCCGAAAGCCGAGCTCCTCCTCCTCTACTCACTGTTTTTGGATTTCCGCTATGTCGAAGCCTGAAGTCGTCGACATGTCTGGGAGGGATCACCCCTCTATCTCTCTCTCTGATGATCACTTAAAGGGATTTTGGATTGACTTGTATGTACCTCGTTTATTTGCCCACTGATAATGAGCCTCAATTATCGTGTGCCCGCGTTGTTTGCTTTGTCGAAAGGCGAAGAAGAGCTTGGGATGCCATATGCCTTTACTACTACAAGTTCCCTCTGGTAGATATATACATATACATCTATATAT